AAAAATACGCATTTTAGCCTTTTAGGGCATGTCATGTTGTTTTCAATACAAGCAGGGGAGGAAGAAGAAAACAAAAGCATGTGTGTGCATGTACTAAACCCTTAGCTTGTCTATAAGCATTCTCACTTCAAGTGGTCATTATTCACTTGCGTAACCAAGATGCCAAGCAACGAACAAAAAAGTATATGTTGTTTACTCAGAAAATAACAAAATAAAAAGCAAAGCAACTTTGATAAGAAATTATAAAAGTCAGAAAATGGCTTCTTCAGAAGATAAGATTATGTGGGTTGGTTGTGTGTGTGGCTTAGGAATCACCCATGATTGAAACGCGTACAAGCTCCCATAACACTTAGTCTTGTCTATAAAACATATATATCTAAATATATTCGACCGGATTGTCCAAAGCATCAAATCAAAAACCCTTTTTCTATCTCCTTATTTCTTCACCATCCTTTTTTTTTACACACAAGTATCACAATGGAGGGTCATCAAGAACCTCACCTTCCAAACTACATGAAAGATGACAACGTTAGCCAAGAAACCAAGAACTTGATCTCTTCTCTTCCTTCAGACAAAGATTTCATGGGTTACACTCTCTACAATTACAAAGGCTGTTGGTACTATCCCAACCCACTCCAAGCAGTTCTTGATGTCCAAAAGCATTTCCGACCTCGAAAAACCGATATAATCCTTGCTTCTTTGCCCAAAGGTGGTACCACTTGGCTCAAATCTCTTGTTTTCGCCCTTGTACATAGAGAAAAATACAGTGAAAATCCTCAAATTCATCCTTTGCTCTCACAAAACCCTCATGACCTTGTCCCATTTCTTGAGATTGAGCTATACGCTGGTAACCAAACTCCTGATCTCACAAAGTTTCCTACTCCTATGATATATTCAACACACATGCACTTAAACACATTGCGTGAAGCCACCACAAAGTCTTCTTCCTCACCTTGCAAAGTCGTGTATGTGTGTAGAGGTATCAAGGATACGTTTGTATCCGGTTGGCATTATAGAAACATGTTGCATCGCACCAAGATGGATCAAACCACTTTTGAGCTCATGTTTGAAGGATATTGTAAAGGAGTTCTCTTATATGGACCCTATTGGGAACATGTGTTGGGCTACTGGAAATGGAGCTTGGAAGATGGCGAGAACGTTCTTTTTCTGAAATATGAGGAGATCATTGAGGAGCCTCGTGGTCAAGTCAAGAGACTGGCTAAGTTCTTGGATTGTCCATTTACTGATGAAGAAGAAAAGAGTGGTTCGGTGGAGGAGATCTTGAAGTTGTGTAGTTTGCGTAACTTGAGCAATTTGGAGATTAATAAGAATGGGACAACGAGAATTGGTATTGATTCTAATGTGTTCTTTAGGAAAGGTGAAGTTGGTGACTGGAAGAATCATCTCACTCCTCAAATGGCGAAAAAAATTGATGATATTATTGAATGTAAACTACAAGGTTCTGGTTTGATATTTCAGTAAGGTTGTGTCATGATATTTTATTTTATTTTGTTTCTGTACTTAATGGCACATTAAATTTTCAGCAAATAAAGTTGTGTTATGTTATGTTCTTGGCTGTGAAATTTTATGCTTGGGTAAACCTCAAGTTTATAATTACATATAAATAATGTTTAAGGAAGCGGTAGAAACTAGTTAGAGCTCCTCCAAGGGCACTATGTGGAAGAGTATGTAACAAACAAAAATGTGGAAGAGTATGTAACCAAACAAAAATAAATATTTTGTAACCAAACAAAAATAAATATTTTGATCTGCGAAACCACACAAATTTTTATTTCATTTTGATATACATAAATATTTATTTTATATTATTAGTGACGCTATTTATATAGTTAAATGTTTATACAACTATTACAAACACTATAATTTTATAGTTCATATGTTAATAACAATTGTTTCAATCGTTTCTTATTATATATTTGTTTTCTTGGATTTGCATTTGATTATTATATAAACTAATATATGCGCGAAAAATCATGTTTGAAAATTATTTAATATTTAATTTATATTAAAAATTTATGTTATTTAGATAATATAGTATTGTATATATAAAGGTTTATATGTTAATTTTATACATGTATTATATAGTTAGTAATGTTAACCTGTTTTGCCAGTATATTATATTTTTAACATTAATATTTTCTATTTGTGAAAATAAAATAGATTAATTTATCCTTTAAATATAAATTTAATATAGTAATTATCTTCTAATATGATACATTATGATTTTATAAAAGATAAATATTTTTTATAAAGATAACTATAACTATATATATATATATATATATATATTAATGTATAATTATATTTATTACTAATTCAAAATTAGCGAATTATTTACATAATTTTAAAAAGTTAAGATCTTGTTAAAATCTTTTTAACAGATATGTTGTAATTTTGAATATATAATTATATTTAAAATGAAAAATATTAAAATATATTAACGATTAAATTAGTTATAAATATTTTATTATTAGTTTTAATGAAATACATTTAATAAAAAAAATTAGTAATGGTCCATTTTAAGAAAAAATACCCATGAAATGTAATCATGATTTATGTTTTAATATATAAGATAGTAAAAATGGGAGAGAGGAATGGTTTCCTTTCATTAGTCAATAATTATGTAAAAAAATTAAATTTAAATTTACAAACAAAACACATTAAACTATTAAGTTTTTATTGTTAACAACCCCAAATCCACATCCCCACCGATGGGATGCTCTTAGGCATTGTTTTGTATGAGATTAGTATTTAGATGGACGACTAGACATAACCTAAAATTTTATTATGAAATTTAATTTTAAAAGAAAAATGTTTTACTCATGATTAATTTTTAGCCTACGCGGATGCATAGACATCACTTAAATTGAATTTTGGAACACGTCAAAATAAAATAATATATATGCGATCAGAGTACAGAAAAATGATGTAAATTGTAAGTCGCATTCTTTAGTCACTTTCGGGGAATCCGTAACCCCAAATTTGGTCGGCCAAATGGACTACGGCTTTCATAAATTTTATGTTTCATACTATTCTGATTCTCCTCAATAGTGATTATAAAATTATGTAACAACTCAGATATACATCTTAATCAACAAACGTTTGGTCAAATTTGGACGACACAAATATCAATTTATTGGAGTGTATTGTTACTGTTTGGTGCTCGGTGGGTTCATACGTCGTTAAGATTTGAAGCATATCTGAAAAATGGGTGGAAATTAAATGAAAAAGAATAACGTCAGCAGAAAAAAATAGGATCCATGGCCAATTAATTACAAAACTTCTTAATTTTGTTGCTTCATTATTTACTCCAAAAATTTTCTATCTAGACAAACTTTAAAAATACAAACTACACAAAGGTTAAATACTGTATACCCGATCTCCACGTATAGTATAAGTCAATTCTTGTGATCATCTTTATATAATTTTCTTTTGAACATTTTCTTTATACTTCTTCATGTTACTCTTTTTTTTAAAGGAATTATGCTAATATAGAATAGAAAAATAGACCTCTTTGTCCTTTTAGTATAAACCAACACCAATCTTGTCCTTATAGTATAATTGTTTTTATAATTCTAAAATTAACCCTATATTAATTATAATTAAACATAATTTATAATAAAAAAATGAATAATAAAAAAAAAGGAACAGAGTCCCTTTTTATCAGTGCCATTTTGTTTCCATATGGAGGTAATATTACCAAACAATTTACGGATGAAGAAAAATTATTTCTCTGAACTATGTAAAAAAAAACATGATTACATAAACCCTAATGCAAGACAATGCCTTGCGTAACAAGGAAGATCCAAAATTCTAGTACCGTCTGTGATACATCAAGTAAGGATTGTGGTGAACAAAATTCTATAGAAACCAAAATTTGTGAAAAAAAAAGCAATGGAGACTAGGTTGGATGAAGAAGCTAGGGTTTTGGAGTCGATATAGAAAGGATTTTTTAACGTGAAAAATCAGTTTCCCATGTTTAAAGAAAATGCAATTATTAAAAAATCTTTTTAGAATATTTTCTCAAATAATTTCCAAAATTTTCAAATTTTATTTTAACTTATCCGTAGAAAGTACATTCTACAGAGAATAGAAACACTAACGTGTCACTATAAACAGATTCTACTATTAGTAGACGTTTGAGTTATGTGTATATTACGTATTCTGAAATTTGTAGAAGTGGTTTAAAACGTAGAACCCGCATTCAGTTATTTTGTAGAATTCTATATAAACGTAGAATATAGATTTTAAAAGATATAAAATTCTATATAAACGTAGAATATATGTTCTAAAAATGTAGACTTTATTGTTGAACCTGGAATATGAGTTCTACTATGCGATTTTTCATAGAATATGAATTCTACTCGCCGTAGAACGTAATTAAAATTTTTAATTTACCAAATTTATGAAAATAAAAAAAAAATATCAATTTGTATATATAGGTATTTCATCACTTCTTTATATTTTTAAATAATTTTTTCGAGTCATATAACTATTTATTTTATTAATTTTTATAATTAGAAAGAGTAAAAAGAAAAAAAATAGATAAAAATATTTTATTCTTAAAGGACAAGAAGTTTATTTTTCTGTTCTATTTTAGCATAATTCTCTCTCTTTTTTATTTATAATGTTTTTATATTAGAAGATATTGACGGAGTAGCATGCGACCTGAATGATCCTTCTTTCTACGCATCATTTGCATTTCTCCTAATTTCCCAAAAAAATCGACCGTCTCAAAAACATGTCAATGCATATGTTGTTGGCCTACGTACGTGTTATTTCGTATCATAAAAACGAATACACGTGACGAAACAAAGAACTAACATACGAGATGACACTGATTCTAATTGGTTAGAAACTAATCCACGTTAGCCTCTGAGCTTTCTTATAAAGATTCTCACTTTGTCCCCTTAAAAACAATTTAAACTCCCAAAATACACACCTTTTCAACCTCTAAAAAAGCAAAGGTTCTCATGGCGATGTCTATTTCCGGAGCTATGCTTAGTGGGATGGGTTCTGCGTTATTGATCAAGGGAGGCAAGAGAAGCGGCGCCGGCGGTGGATCTATGAATGTTGGCCGAAAGAGTGTGATAACTGCACCTCAGCGCAAGAAGTCTTGGGTCCTAGCCGCCGTGAAAGGTGATAGCAACTCAAAGAACGATCCCAAATGGCTAGATGATGCCTCGTAAGTGTATTATATTTGTTTGGAGATAGCTTAGATACGAATGTTATTGGAGATCGAGTGACTTGAAACTCTAGTATATCTACCCTAACATGAATCAACGATAAAAAATCTGAATCATTTGGTGAATACTAATACGACTAAAATATATTTTTAGAGGAGAGAAAATACACACATTATGATGCATTGACATGCTTTCACGTCAATTTTAGTTAGTATTTAGAAGTCAAGAAATTAAGTAAAAACATATTCTCATGGTGAAGTTAACCTATGACATTGATTTTTCATTGTAATAATTGTGTTAAATTGTCACACATATATGTATATATATATATATATATACATATATGTGTGACAATTTTCCTATATGTATGTATAATATGTTGTAATAATTTTCCTATAAATAAATGTACTGTGAAAGCATGTGAATGCATCATAATGTGTTCCTATAAACAGAATTAACATTTATATCAGAGGCTATAAAACTAGAGTTATTCTTAGGTTCACCTCCTAGGGTGAACCTTTAGGTTCACCATCCAATAGGATTGCATTATTTCATATTTGATATCTTTTAAAAAAGGAAACAAAATCTTGCTAAATTATATTATGTCTTTAAATATATAAATAAAATAAATAATAAATAATCATATTAATAAAAACGAAAATCATTTAAAAAAATATTTTATCACTAAACCCTAAACTTTAATCCTAAACCCTAAACCCTTGGGTAAATCATAAATTTTTAGATAACTTTTATAAAAAAAAATTAAAATAATTATTTTAACACTAAAACACTAAACCTTAAACTCTAATCCTAAACCCTAAACCCTTGGGTATATCATAAACACTAAACCTTAAACCCTAATCCTAAACCCTAAACCCTTGGATAAATCATAAACCCTTTGAAAAAATCTTAAACATTAAATCAATAAAATTAATACTAACCAATTATACTGTTTTTTATTTATTTTTCTTTTATTTTTTTCGATTTTTAAATATTAAATCAATATATTAAGATAGTGTAACAATATTTTTTTTTTCATTTTAATGATATATTAAAATTTTTTTTAAAATTTTTTTTTTGCATTTATTACTGTTTTTATTTTATTTTTATCTTTTTACTTTAAAAACATAATATAATTTTAAAATATTTTTTTTAAAAAAATCGTTTTTTTAATATTATTGTTTTATTTATATTTTTGATTTTTATTTTACAAACATAATATAACTTAATAAGATTTTATTTACTTTTTTAAAAGATATCAAATATAAAATAACATCATCCTATTGGTTGGTGAACCTAGAGGTTCACCTTAGGGGGTGAACACAAGAATAAGTTATAAAACTATGAGAATGTATATAGCCTATAATGTAACTGTAAATTCTGTTCATTGTAATAGTTTTGTTAAATTGTCAGACATAAATATATAAATTTTTACAACATATTAGACAGAAAGCTAGCGAGTTCGTGAAGGACATGGGAAGCGAAGTGGGGCACGTGACTGCTCAGAAAGGACAAGAAGTTAAAGATCATATGGAGAGTGCAAGAAACTATATTGTTGAGAAAGCTGGTGAAGCAATGGACACGGTGGCTGAAAATGCTAAGAAAGCTTCGGAGTTTATGACGGATAAAGGCAAAGAGACCAAGGAAGAAACTGTTTTAATAACTGAAAAAGCTAAAGATTTCATTGTTGAAAAAGCTGGCGTGGCCAAAGATTCTGCGACGGATATGGGCAAGAAAACTACTAAGTATGTTGAAGATAAAGCAGCACAAGCCAAAGAAGCTATATTTCCTCCGAAAAAAGAAAAATAGAATATTGTATATTTGGAACCTTAAACATATAAAGAACTTGGAGGCAGTAATCTCGGAAGTATTTATTTACTTTGTGAGAATAGTATATGATTGTTTCGTGAGAATAAACTGATACATACAATAAGTACTGATATAGTCAGTGGCTAATTATTCGAATTATTCTAATCTTTAATTTTACAAACTATGATATTTATTAAGTTAAAGAGATATAATTGTTTTTCAATCTTGCTAAGAGCATGATTATTGCTAGGACTTCTTTTTGAGTCCTTAACATATTTTATTAATATTGTAAGACTAAGGACAAATTTAAGGGACAAAAGCAAATGTTAAGATTATTGGTAAGTCTTTAGTTGAGAAGGAAGAAAGAACTTGAGAAGGAAGAAAGAACATCTTACGCTACTTGCCCCACGAGTATACATAAGCATTGTGCGACAACCACCACATACAATGTGAGCCATGTCCATCCCTACATGAGCTGTGTTCAGACCCAAAACCAAGTCACAACTATTCTTTGATGGAACTAGTAAACAAGATGAGTACAGAAAGCAAGCATAACTCAAGAGATCATGTCGCTAGTAGTCGGAGAAGGTGGAGAGATCATGTCGTTAGTAGTCAGAGAAGGTGGATAGTTTTTCTTCTAGGAGTAGAAAGCTGTAGGGTGTTAGGCGCAGTTAAGTGCAAAAGAAACATTGACACAACCATTCACTGATCAGTCATTAAGAGCAAGGAGTGATTGAGAAGAACTGAAACAGTAAAACTTGGAAAGTTGAGAGAATAACATAAACAGATCACTATCAAATTTCAGAACAGTTTGAGATTACTGAAGATGAAAATTCATACACTAACAAATTACAGAAACAATCACTGATGAAAGCTTATTAGTATTCCAATTCTCTACAACACATCTAAAGAAAACGTATCAAACATAAGTGTTTGAGATAAAGAGAGGCTTGGGAGACATAAAAGGACTTGAGTAAAGGTGAGAGAGATCCAAATACGGCTTATAAACTGCAATCAATCAAACATAAGAAGTACTCTGACAAATTCAATACACTCTTCAAATCATACAACCTTCACAAACTCATCTCAAGACAATAAACAGCTAAACCCCATGGGAGATAATAAGTACCTGTAGCTGTTATGGAAGAAGAAGGTAGTCAAGATTGTTAGAGCTCGGGTTCCTTCAGCTCCCAAACAAAAACTTTAAACATTCTCAAGGTGAAAGTTTACAATCTTCTGTGTACCTAAACAAACCCAAATCATCAAAACGAAAACTTTAAACATTCTCAAAGGTGAAAGTTTTCAGCTTTTGACTACCTAATCGATGTCAACACCGGAACCTTTGTAACTGAGACACCAGAACCATTGTTGTTGTTCTCGTCTTCTGGGGAAAGCTGACGGGAGAGGCTTCGGAGATGGTGAGACGGAGACGCCTCTCGGTTTGGCCCTTCCAAAACGCGTCGGCCACTCCCAAGACGACACGTGCCAACGTAGGACGCGTTCCAAAAGTCCTTTCTTAAGGGACGTCTTACGTTTTAATACTCATTTTTCATTTATTTTTGGCACTTAATTGCTAAGGACTTCTCCTTAGATATGCCGATAATGTTGCCCTAAGGTGCATGTGTCTCTAACCACTAGACGACCATATAATTAGATAAGACTAACCCAACTATGTTCTAAAATGCTTTTAAAAGGCATATAATATAAACCATGTTCGTTCTCAGAATGCTCGTCAACAAGGAGCGATCCAAAAATATAAAAGGATTTTAATGACAGCTCAGCAACCAATCAAATATAGAGAGTAGAAAGATGATAACTTTTGACGCCAAGGACAAATATATGTATGTGAGGAGACACTGTATTTTACAGCGGCAACAAAACTACGAAAAAATGACCAGTGATAGCTTCCGGCAGCAACTGGACATCAAAACACCATTAAAATTTTACTCACCTGTTTGTTATTTTTGGCCGCTGTCCTTCAAAGCCGCGTCAGAGAAACGAACAGGGCTATAATCTTTGTGAAGTATAGCTTTCGATGTGTATGATACATTCTGAACATATATTTGAACACGTCAAAGAATAAAGGTTCTTTTCCGGTGAGCCATACAATTAGACACCAACAGAAAAACTATTGGAGAATTATGGTTCAATCCAGTTTGGCTTAGACTTTCTTACCCATATATGGTGTGTAAAATGTCAGATTATTATTTGTTTTGAAGGAATGTTGCCAGATTAAGAAGTGCAAAAACCACAGGTTTCTTTTATCTACAAAGAAAGACACAAAAAGAAGAGAGAAAAAAGACACAAAAAGTTCTTCGTTACTTGGTATATAATTAGTTGAACCAATGAAAGATTTCTTCAAATAGAAAACCAAAGTTGAGAGATATTAAACTTAAAGAAAGACCATAATGTATCACAAAACATATTTTAGCTCAGAAAATATCACGATTCTCATGTTGAGTTATTCAAAAACATATCAAGTTTAAGTTCTTTAAAACTGCCGAAAAGGTTTTCAACGTTTTAGAACCATTCTTACAACTAACTAATAAATACTATTGCAGAAAAGATTAACCCTTTTAGTCTTAAGTATTGTTTCTATTGTTTTCTTCTTCATGCCATATCGACTGATCCAGTTGGATGATAAAAACACAATTAGTGCTGTATAATGGAGTGAATAACTCAAGTTTGAAATGCTTTCTGATCAATATCGGTGGTTAGCCAGATCGTTTGTCACTACAGAACTACCATGTAAATTGCATGGACTAAAGAAACTCAAACTGACTAAATAGCAGCAGTTAACCATGGTTTGTGGTCTGTTGGTGATTAGCTTGAAAAATTCCATTACGGTGAAGTCACTAGGGTTTGACTCCCAACTACCGGAGAGTTAACACATTTCGGTATTGTTAGGGACATGAAACTAACACGTGACAATACGTAATTAGTCTAGACCATTTATGTGGGCTAAGATATTCATGTTAAATTCAAAAAAAAAATAGCAGTAATTTTGTTCCTAGCAAAAATCAGACCCAAAAAATGGATTTATGCCATGCCCCCAGCGCTATTACCTAGTGGCTACCATTACTTGGTTTTGTTTATATTTCGAAGAGTGTTGTTCTTTTAAAAATATAGCACTAGGTATATTATTTTAGAAGGTATCTTTTGTTATGTTTTATTGAAGGAGAGAATTGAAGAAATAAGAGCATGAGAGTGGACAGTAGCATGCGGCCGGCATGGTCCCTCTTTCTACGCATTTCTCTTTCACTCAACTACAACATTTGACCTGCTAAACAGCATGCTTTCCCTTTCTTTTCATACTCTAATATAACCTTTTAAATTAGAAAGACTAATCAAACTCAATTAGTGTTTTCCTGTTTTAAATTCATTTCTTAAAATACATTTCAACGGATTTGCGTGCGGGATTATGATATCCTCAGTCATCCAAAAAAAATTATAGACACAAAATTTCACCTTAATTTTATACTATTCCATATATACATGAATAAAAGTTGAATAGAATTTACTTAAGGAGTTCATATATACATCAATTGATTATCTGTATCATCCTTAGGTATTGCTCACGGATTTACACGAATCACGATGATTAAAAATAGAGACGATGATAAAATCCACCAACATGGAGTTTGGCATGTGAAATATTCTCCTTAGATTCTTGTACTTTTTAACTGCTTATTTATTTTACCGTATAGTTGTAATCCATTCAATTTCCAAAATCCTTGGAGTGCATGAACACATATGACACATTCGAGTTATTCGACCAATTCAATTCAAGATAACCCCGGGATGAGTTAAACAAAAACTATAAACGTATAAAAGACCAGGTGATTATGGTCGAATGGTAATGAGGAGGGATTGGGACACTAACATGATTCAGCTTCGACTTATTTGTTATGCGAAACTAAGTCACAATTATTCTTGATCACCTATGGGCTAATGCTTTCGAAACCAGTTGAATACCAGAAGAGATAGTCTATCTATGGACTGCACCTCCTCTTGAAAATTAGTCTGGACTCCTCCATAAACCTTAGATACCCCAAGAATAAAAAAAAGAGGTCCTTACATATGGTGGTACAAATAAACTCCCAGCCACTTGGATTATTTCTTAATCTTTTGGTTTAAATTTTTTATTTTATTTATTTTTAAATACGCTAATATTATTGTTAAAATTTTTATATTTGTGCTAATTTTGGGGGTTCTTTTTCTTTGTACATTTGTAATTTTTTTTCTAGTGGTTTAATGTATTTCTCATCGTTATATATCACTTAAGATTTCCTTTTAATGAAACAAGTTAATACTTCAATAAATCCTTCTCATGTAAGTAATACTCTCTCTTTTTAACAAAGAATCTCATTGTCATTTTTTCTGGTCACATAAAAAATATCATTTTAGAACTGCAATGCAATTTATAAATATTTTAAATTTAATAACAACTACAAGATATATTTTTATAAATAATTTTAAATATCTTAAAATTATTGGTTAAACAAATATATAGATAATAACTATAAATAAATTTTAATCTTTTTTTAATTTGTCTCGAAACCGACCGGTTAACCAGTCAAATCTTCCCCTGAAAACGAAGAGGGCGCCTGGCTAACGTACGCCAAATGTATTTATGAGTAGACTCCTCCTCATTGCCTCCTCATCACAATCACAATTTAACCCCAAAAAAATAGAAATTAATTGATTTCTGTTGGACTCTTTCTTCTCTCTTCGCAGGTTTTTAGGAGAATCTGTGTCAGACACAGAGCATACTGTTAAAGTGATTATCCCCCTTTTTATTAGATTTTAATTAAATTAACAGTCTCTTTCTTTATTCTTATTTATAAACTTAACAAACTTTCTTTTTTCTGATCATTTTTAGTCTCTGCCAATTTTGCAGTTGCGATCGTCTTCGTCTTCTTCCTCCACATACAATCGATCGAATTCAATTTCCCTCTTCTAACGAATCGATTATGGGTTCGTCACTCCCCCTCTGTTTC